TATTTGCATAAATAAACTCATGGTTTGCTCTGAAATCAGGTTTGGATCCGTTGGCCACAAAACAATGGCTCACACATCGAGTCCTGAAGACGGGAATGAGAGAAATCATAACAACAACTTTGACGGCAGAGTTGGCCCAATACGGAAGGGATGCTCTGTTGAAGTTTGTCTACGAGACTATGTTTTCATGGATTGTCGGTCTCATCAACAAAGCCCTCGGTTTGCAATGATTTGATTAATTTTTGTTTGACTACTAAATAAACTCTATTCAATTTAATGACAATTAGGCCCAACTAACTTATCAATTAATTATCCATTCATTGGTGTCCTTGACATCTACGGGTTTGAACATTTTGAAACAAATAGTTTTGAACAGTTTTGTATCAACTATGCAAATGAAGTTCTCCAGCAACAGTTCAATCAACACGTCTTTAAAGTAATAATTGAATAAAATTCTTTAAATTCTTATTATTATTTTAAATGTTAATTGAATGACATTTGAATGTTTAGTTGGAACAAGAAGAGTATGTCCGCGAAGGCATTGATTGGCAATTTATTACTTTCACTGATAATCAGCCGGTGATTGACATAATAGAAGCCAAACCTATCGGCATATTATGTCTTTTGGACGAAGAGTGCAAAATGCCTAAAGGTTTTCATTTCACGATTAAAATTATATTTATTAATTGAGTTATAATAAGAGTTTGTGTGAATGCAAATTAGGCACAGACGAGACGTGGGGCGCAAAACTATACTCGCAGATTAAAATTGGCGATGTCTTCCAGAAACCAAAGTTTGGTTCCAGAAATTCATTTATTATCCAACACTTCGCTGATACTGTTGTTTACAACGTCGAGGGTTTGCCTAACTTTGAGAGAGATTTTTTGTTGGAATTCTTTAATAACTTTAAATTTATTGAATGAATAGGTTTTCTGGAGAAGAATAGAGACACCATTTGGGACGAACAAATTGATTTACTTAAGAGATCAACAGTTGTGGA